TTTGAACCCCACGCAGTGATTTGCTGCAATTCCCAGCTCAGGGATAAAACATGTGCTTCTCCTAAACTTCCCCTCACCTGGGCCTGTAACCACAGGGATTTTTTTTAGTTCTTACATCAACTTATTCCCCTCAGCAATGAAGCTTCAAAGCATAAACAGCTCGGAACAACAGAACTGGTTTTAATTATTTACTGTTCCAAGCAATGCCCAGGTAAGCATTTTCCATCCCTGCTGTCTGAGGCAGATTTGCCATTTGGAATAAATGATCAAACTGCCCTGACAGTCACTGCAGATGGATTTCAGTCATTTATTAGCCCCAGAATTTCAACAGCAACCCATGGAACACATGAATCAAAGAAATCATTTAAAATTGCATCAAACCGACAGGAAAAAGGTCTGGAGACTGAACCTTAAAGGAATATCTTGAAATAGAAAAGGAAAACAATGGGGTGGAGTTATTAATACAAGAAAGCAAAAGACCAAAGCAGAAGAGGCAATGATTTTACAGTTTATGGTGTTCTCTGCCTTTCTTCTTTTCACTTCTCACCTGGAGTCAATGAGAGACAACACAGGAGATCCAATCCCATTATCCCAGGATTCCCACCCAGCCAGCAAAGAGCAAATAGTGAAGGGTCCAGAAAACATGTGAAGGGGCTGGAAAATGTGAAGGGGTTGGAGAACATGTCCTGTGAGGAGCAGCTGAGGGAGCTGGAGGGGTTTATCTGGAGAAGAGGAGGCTCAGGGGGGACCTCATTGCTCTCCCCAACTCCCTGACAGGAGGGGGCAGGGAGGGGGGTCGGGCTCTGCTGCCATGTCCAAGGGAAAGGAGGAGAGGAAATGGCCTCAAACTGCACCAGGGCAGGTTCAGGTTGTAGATTAGAAACAATTTTTCCCTGTAGGAGTGGTCAGGCCTTGGAATCAGTGTCCCAGGGAGGTGGTGGAGTCCCCGTGTCTGGGAGTGTCCCAGAGGTGTCTGGATGTGTCCCTTGGGGCCATGGATTGGGGGTGATTGTGGTGGTGCTGGGTGAGGGTGGCACTGGATGACCCTGGAGGTCTCACCCAACCCTGGTGATTCTGTGAAACAGAAGAAAATGGCACAAGGACTGAATACTCTGAGTGCTAAAACTTACAATTCATCTGCTCCAAGGCTTAACAACTTGAGGGCTGTGAGGAGTCTCCAAGATGGTCCATCCCAGCCAAAGGTCAGGTTTCTAAAAAGTCCAAAGTGATAAGAAAGTATAAGTCAGCTTTTACAGTGTGACAGTTTTCTTCCTGACAAGGGGAGATCTCAAGCTTTGATACTGGTGTTTACAACTTCCACATCCTCTCACAAGCATATTAGTTTGTTAAAAAACAAACAAACAAACAAACAAATAATTATTTTTTTGCAGGATTTTGATACTAAAAGCAAAATTTGCCTCCCAGAAAATACTGAAAAGAAAGCTCATCAGGAAACAAAGAACTCCAGATACCTACTCTAGGAAATCATGATCCTTTAGAATGGACAGTTTTGCCTTTCTCTGCTTGTCCAGTGGTGGAAGATATTTGAGGAGAGTGTCTGCATAAAAATACATTTTAGATATTTAAAGAAATTCTACATAGAATAAAGCACAATCATCAATTCTGAGGTAACACTGCAACCATATTTTTCAAGGTTGAAAGGAACAAAGAAACAAAAAAACCTGCTACAATTTAGTGAAATTTCACAGAACAAAAGTGCTTTTTGTGTCCTTAAAGCAAAAATCCTGACTCAAACTGAAGTTCTGAACCACCCTCAGCAACTTCAGTTTGTGAGGATCAGGACTTCAATCCTCAAGTCAATGGTAAAACCTTAGACATCCAGTTGGAATTTCTACATAGATTCTGCTAAGAGTCACAACTTTGTAAAAGAAAATGTTCACAAAGAGCATTTTCAATTTTAAAACTCCAGTCCTTAAATTCCATGCAGAGGTATCACAGCCTATTCCACTTCTTGGAAGTGCTTTCAGTGACAATCTGTAAATCCAACCTGATGAGACATAAACGCTGCTGTGAGGGTTATCCATGGCAACAAATCCATATTCCAGGAGCAGCCTCTGATTATCATGAGGTCCATAGCAGATAAAAACTTCTCCATATTTCTTGCACTGGGAATTTGCCCAAATTTCATAGCTCCTTGTCTGCTCATTAAAGGCAGCCTTCACCTAGGTGGAGTTAAAAAAAGAAAAGGTTTTACACATGGCAGGGTGAAAAAAAGAACCAAACCTCGAATATTGAGATCCAAAAGTAGTGAACATTTCTCTAACACTGGAAGAAAAGTGTTTCAGAGGTCTGAGGAGGCAGCCCACGAGTGTGAAGAACAAACATCAAAGCCCTGGCCTGCAGCATGTGCCACCCACTGGGCAGATTTATTAGAGAGGCTCCAAATCTACAAATAAAGATGGTTTTGCGCAGAGTTGGCCCTTCCTGTGCTGTCCCAGCTCTGTGTTGGCTCTCAGTCCCTGACAGAAGGTGGAACTGCTCTCCACACTCCCCTAAGGCTGCTCAGAAGCTTCAGGGAGAGGTGAACACAGGGACTGTATAACTTGGAATCTGTGGCAGGAGCTGAGCCTTTTAGGGAAGCAGAGCAGGGTCATGTTTACAAATGGCCCTTCCCAAAAGCTCCCCTGGGTGCAAATCTCACCCAGGGGCTCTCCCTGTTGCTGCATGAACTGAATTTGAATCGTGGAATCACAGAATCCCAGAATGGTTTGGGTTGGAAGGGACCTTTAAGATCATCTAATCCACCCCCTGCCATGGGCAGGGACACCTTCCACCAGCCCAGGTTGCTCCAAGCCCCGTCCAACCTGGCCTTGGACACTTCCAGGGATCCAGGGGCAGCCACAGCTTCTCTGGGAATTCTATCCCAGACCCTCCCCACCCTCACAGGGAAGAATTCCCTCCCAATATCCCACCTAACCCTGCCCTCTGGCAGTTTGAAGCCATTCCCCCTTGTCCTGTCACTCCAGTTCCTGGTGATCTTTACCACAATTATCCTTATTCAACTGCCTTGGGCTGAAGACCAAACTCCAGTGTATTTATGACCCGTGAGTCCTCACCCTTTACACACTCCCAAACTGACATTTTTCCCACTGGAAGATCCTTCCCTGACCTCCACACCCTCCTAATCCATCACATAAATGCCTGTTGTATTGAGACAGTGCATCTGCAAATAAAGAAATCAAGTGATCCATTTTTAGTTTCTCACCTGAACATTTGGACTGTGGTTTAGCAGATCTAAATACGGTGCCAGGGCATAAACATCTGGCTCCAGAGAAAACCATTCCCTCTGTGGATGTTTCATGTATATTGTCCTGGTATTAATAGTGCACCAAGCCCACTCCAAAGCACTGTAGGTAAAAATAGTTCCTGTGTCCTCAGCAAACAAAGGCTGCAGGGAAGAGAAAAAAGCCTTGGAAGACAAATACAGCTCGTGGATGGTTGTTCTCTGCTCCTGAGCCTTCTTTCTTAAAGGTTCTGGAAGGAGGTTCACTACATCATGTTCCCAACAACCAGGGCAAGTGTAAGTCTTGGGTAGAACATCCAGGTATGGCTTCCAGGGGGATTTCTGCCCAGCATGTTTCTCTGCTATTAAAAACGTGCACAGTGCCATCAAAGGGGATACAGGAGGCTTCCAGCTATCAGAAAAGAAAGGAAAAATAAAAATGCCAACCCAGCAGATACTCAGAGGTGAGATGGGAATTGGGTGTTTTATCTCTCTAAGGGTTCTTTTAGATGTCATAAAAAGCTTCTATTTTAAACTGCTTTGTAGTTCACCTCCAAGCCCTTTGGATGGTTTCAAAGGGGGCAATAAAAGCTGGTTTGGAATAACAACGTCAGGTTCACCCCTTGGGTTGTTTTTTTGGGGGGGTGGGGTGGGGTTTTTTAGGATATACAAGGACTCAATGTCCAGCATAGGACTTTGTTCTGAATTTTCTAAAAGGCCATGTTCATGTGACTGCTCTGCAACCCCTTTTTATCTTCCTTCTCCTACTGAAGCTTATTCACAAATTCCCAAGAAATCCTTCCTAAGTGACATTTAGGTCCAAGCTGGCTCTGAGGCAGGTCAAGTTCCAGTCTGTGCTTTAGTCTGCTGAGCTAAAAGGGGATGTTTTCAGCCCAAACCTTTCCTATCTGAGCATTCCACACCCATGAAAGGCCACAGGAAATAGTTACCACTCAGGGAATGCAGTTTAAAGCTCTCCCACCACTTCAGATGATTCATCTACCAATGAACAACCCACACTCCAGGTCAACTTGTCCATCAAGTGTCACTTTTCACTTACTTCTTAATGTATCCTCCCAGGCAGCTCCTAAGGACAGTGCTTGTGGTGAGTAAACACTTCTCAGGCAGTGAAATAATGAGATCCCCTGCCTTTGAGGGAAGGGAAAAAACAATAATCACACACAAAGAACAGTAAAAGTCAAGTGTAAGTGACTCATTTCATACTCCCACGGGAACTGGGAGGGTTTGGAGAGTCCCAGCCCAGGGAAGGAGGACAACTGCAGCCAGTACAAACCATCACTGTTCACAGAAAGTCTGTGCCTGGCTGCTCCCTTTCTTTGCACTGAGATATATTCTAGATCAGGTCTCACAAACAGCTGAATTTCCATCAACAAGCAGCACGTGGCAGGGATGCTTTAGGTCATGTCCACCCTGACCTTGCTTGCCAGGCTGCTGGGGGTAAATCAGCTTTCATGCCTGGCTGGAGCCACGTGTGCCCATTGCTGCAGGGAGAGCACATGGATCCACTCAGTGCTCTTCCCATTCATCTCCTGGTTTTTCCCTGTCTTGTTCCAGCCCAGTTGGGTTCAGTGCTCTGCACTCACTGCAGGCTCCCAGCACTGGGGGAAACCTCTGGCTTCTGAGGTCTCAACCTGAGGCAGGATGAGAACACACACTGTCCTCTGCACGTGGCTTTCCCACTGCATCTCCTTCCCACCTCTTGCTTTGCTCCCTGTTCTGCCAAAGATCCTGGCTCTGATTCACCCTTATTTCATTTACTGTCCTCACACCACTTAGGAAACTTCTCCAACAAACCTATTTTCCAAGAAGCTTTGTCAGTCAGAGTTCCAATATCCACAGGGCAAGGAATTTTTTTCTATTATTCCCCTTTCCTGCTGGAAATGCCTGAGAAATGATGTTCCCATTAATTAATCTACCAACACAGAAGCTTCAAAGTGAAGGTCAGAGGCCAGAAATTACATTCACAACAGGGGTTGGGAAGACCTTGTCCGGAATTCTGAGTTTTGCTTCTTGCAAAAACTCATTCCACCTCAAAAGAACCTGAGGAGATGCTGCAGCAGAACCAACATCACTGACCTGAAGAGCTTTTGTTGCCATCAGTCCTCTTCCTGTCTCTGAGGCAGGAACAAAAAGCACAAGTAAATACATGTATACATGTGAAATCAGGAATCTACGATCAGGTCAGCAAGGAAAAGCTCTAAAAGAACAGACATTATCTCTTCCAAGTCATAAAAGCCAGTTATGGGTTGTTCCATACATATATTTAATTTCTTTGTTCTCCAACTCTCTTTATTTCTCAGGATTCTCTCCCTGCATCCCCTGCAGCACTTGCTGTTCAGTTCTAGCCATTATTCACCTCCTTTTTCTCTCAGTTCTAGCAATTATTCCACTTGGTTTTCTCAATTTTTTCTTCAAACTTATCTATCATCACCAGCTGCAGTTCTTGGTTTCAGAGTTTTAACTAAACTTTATAATTTCTAGTCACAATATTTTTCTCTGATTCATTCTATTCTTTCTACTCTCTATTAATATTGCAAAAAAATTTGGAAACATAACCTACTTAAAGAGAAAAAAAATACCTGTATATACCTTTACTGTCAACATTACTAAGTGAATCCCAGCTCTAAAAGAATTTATTTATGGGCATCACGAGATCTGTTGAACTTGCTTGAGGAAAAAAAAAAAGATGAACAAATGATAACAAGGTTAGGTTCCAATGCTGGAAACACAGAAGCACTTCTTTAAAACTGTGCTACTAACACTTAAAATTTCAGCTTTTACCAGGAATTCATCATAGGTGTGCAACTTTTGTTTCTGTTAAATTGACATTCATGTGCATTTGCCAAAAATCCATAAAAGACTAACAGTAACTGGCTTTTTTCCTGATGCCACCCAGGTGTAAAAAGCTTACATCAGGAATCTACCGTTCTTAGAAGAATCAGAAATTTGTACCAGCAATAAAAGAATTAAAACATTACCCCTGAACTCTGCTGGCCTTAAAATACTGTCTTCAAATCCTCTGTCTTTTAGCCACTTCTTAAGTTTAATGTACTCCAGCTTGTGACTGCAGTTCACTAAAAATAAATTTTAAAAAAAATTAATGCTATAAAAGGCTATAATTTCCTGTTGAAAAAGAAAGGAAATTAAAAAATTTCACTGTATAGTCAGACAAGCAAAATCTTAAGACATTTTAAAGCATAAAAAAATAGCGAGAAAGGCTCCCCTAGAACTAACTTACTAAATTCTGGGCCTCTAGGCACTGAGAGGTCTCAGAATTGTGTGAGTTATTCAGTATATTCAAGGAATTTAAGAATAATGTAGTACTTGTCATGAGCCAGAAAAGAGAGCTCACAATATTCACCATGCTGTGCTGGTGACTGTAAGCTAATGCTACAATATTTGTATATTAAAAAAAATGTAACATTTATTAATATCATTTTCAAAACACAAAGGCTTTTGCAAATCATAGAACAAATCCCTTCCTTTGCAAATCCCTTCCCTGAGTTGGAAGGGACACATCAGGACCATTGAGTTCAACTCCTGGCCCTGCCCAGGACAATCCCAACAATCCAACCACGTGCCTGAGAGCAAAAAAACACGAAGGTGTTTGCAAACATAAACCATAGAAAGATACCTTGAAAAGCAATTGGTTTATTTTATCATTTAACTTTCAGGGATAGTACCTCCATCCACAAAACTCTGCGAGTGTTTCCTTCTTCTCTTCCGGCCTGTCCGACCTCTGTTTTTCTTCATATCAAGCAACAGATTTTGCCTTATTTAGACAACCTGAATTCTAAAAAAAAAAAAAAAAAAAATGCTTAAAAATATTTAAAGTACTTTTCATTCCCTGTGAGGGTGGGGAGGGGCTGGGATAGAATTCCCAGAGAAGCTGTGGCTGCCCCTGGACGTGTCCAAGGCCAGGTTGGATGGGGCTTGGAGCAACCTGGGATTGTGGGAGGTGTCCCTGCCCATGGCAGGGGGTGGCACTGCATCATCTTTCCCAGAATCATGGAATATCCTGAGTTGGAAGGGATCTCCAAGGATCATCCAGTCCAAGCCCTGGCCCTGCCCAGGACACCCCAACACTCTCCTGTCCCTCAGAGCGTTGTCCAAACCCTCCTGGAGCTCTGGCAGCCTTGGGGCCGTGCCCACTGCCCTGGGGAGCCTGGTCAGTGCCCACCACCCTCTGCGGGAAGAACCTTTTCCCAATATCCTTCGCTTTGCCAAAAGCGCCCTGAACTGACCCTCAGGAGCGCAGGTTTTCCCTGCAAGGAGGGAGGCCGGGCGGGGAACCGGGAGCACCCACAGGCGGTCGGGCTCCTGGACAACACCACCCCATCGCATCCTACCCCTCGAACTGGGAAGCCTGTGCTAACACCACCTCCATTCCCGGCTCAGCACAACCCCCCGGGACGTGAGAGACGGGAGAGAAGGAAAACTCCAAGGCGGCGCTGCGAGGGAACTTCCCAAGGGAAGCGACCGCTCCGGGACCGCCCCGTACCCCGCGCACCCTCCGCGGCAGACCCAACAGCACCCTCCCCTGGCAACCTAAATTGCCGCTCCCGAGGCCCTCCCGGGCTGGAATCGCTTCCCGGTGCTCCAAACCCACCTGCTGGGCAGGGCACAGGCACCGACATCGCTTGGTTTCCCCTCACGGCGGGTTCATTCCCGCCCCGGAGGCGGGGCTGCTCCGCCATTTTAGGGGCGTTCGCGTCTCCTTTCCCCGGTAGTGCGATCGTCTGGTTTTTGGGGGGAACAGTGTGTGGTTTCCTCGCTGTGCGGAGCTGAGGGACGAGAGGGAAGGCACCCGCGGTGCTGGAGGTGGGTGAGGAGGTGCTGAAAGCCCTCCCCGGGTCCCTCAGACCGCGGTGCCCTGAGGGGGTCGGGGCTCATGGCGGCCCGGGCGTGCCCTCCCCGTTAGGGACCCGCTCCTGAGGGAGTGAGGGAAAAACGCGTTCGCCGTGAGGTGGGAAGGGGGCTCCTGGCTCCGGGAAGGCAGGAGCTGGTTGGGGTGTCATCCACGCGCGGGGTTAGTTACAGGCGAGATGGGAAGAGAGGTGGGAATTATGTAAAAACAGCGTTTTAAACTTGCTTTCATGCGGGAAATGCATCTTCTTTAAACGCGCCGTATCTGTTTGAAAAACAGCAAGCAGGCGTTCTGTCTAGAGGTGATGGTGTGTTCGACAGTATAAACATTGTCAGCCTGTGCTCTGCCCTTTCCCTCTGAAAATCCTGTAATTGCTTCTCCCACCTGGCACTTTGAGATCAAGCTGCTCCTTCCTTATGTGTTTTTTTTTCCATGATTTGGGTTGAAATGGACCTTAAAGCTTATCCAGTTCCTGCCATGGGCAGGGACACCTTCCACTAGACCAAGTTGCTCAGGTTTTGAGCCTGAGTTTTTCAGCTGAACCAGTTGAAATATTCCCAAAAGAAGGAAATGGGCTTTCTGTGAGGTGTAAGTGCGGAAGAGTTTACTCCCACCAAAAGTTAATTCAATACTAAAAATTAATCATTGACTTTCTTTGGTAAAGACCTTTTTTTCTTCTTTTTGCCCAGTCACTGGCTGGGTTTTCTTCAAAACTTTTAGCACTGGGTGTGTATTTCTCTGTGGACACCTCGGGCTACTTCAGGAAGTTAGAGTAAGTAATATAGCTTCACATAATTCAAGCTGGAATTTGAAATAGTATTTTAAAGAAAAAAGAAAAAAACACTTAATTGGCCAGAAGAGTTGTGGATTCCATACCCCTGGTGTTGTTCAAGCCCAGGTTGGATGGGTCTTGGAGCAACCTGGTCTAGTGGAAGGTGTCCCTGCCTGTTGTGGGGGGTTGGATTAGATGGTCTTTAAGGTCCCTTCCTACCTAAACCATTCCCTGACTTTAATTCCTTTTCGATATCCGCCTTTGTCCATCTGAGTGAAGGTTTCTTTGCTGTTGGCAGTTGCTGTCACCTGGGCACACACCCGGGGAGGACCATGTCCAGCGTGCCGGTGGCTGTGGTGACGGGCTCCAACAAAGGCATTGGCTTTGCCATCGTGAGGGCCCTGTGCAAGCAGTTCCCGGGGGATGTGTACCTGACAGCCCGGGACCCCGGCCGGGGGCAGGAGGCAGTGGCCAAGCTCCAGCAGGAAGGGCTCCGGGCCCTCTTCCACCAGCTGGACGTCGATGACCTGCAGAGCATCAGAGCCCTCCGGGACTTCCTGAAGGAGAAATACGGAGGGCTGAACGTGCTGGTGAACAACGCGGGCATCGCCTTCAAAGGTAGGAAGGGCTCTGTCTGGGATAGGCCTGTGTGCTGCCAAGCTGTGTGGAGAGGATTGTGGATGCAGCTGATATTTGTATGCCAGTGGCATGCTGCACTTTTGGCTGGGCAGGCTTCCTATCTTGAGGACAATGTGAAATGGGTCTTCTGGGATCTCTTGGGCTGACTGTGCCTGTGCATTTCTTCCTGGAGAGGGTGGTCAGGCCTTGGCAGGGGCTGTCCAGGGAGGTTTGGAGTGCCCAGCCCTGGAGGTGTCCCAGGAAGGCCTGGCCGTGGCACTCAGTGCTCTGGGCTGAGGGACAAGGTGGGCATTAGGCACAGGGTGGACTCCATGACCTTGGAAGTCTTTTCCAACCTCAGCAATTCTGTGATTCTGTAAACATGCTTCCCTGGAGTGCTGTGTTTGCATCACCCAGGGAGCATGGAAGTACTTGAGGCACGCAGTGCATGTGAGTGGAGTTGAGATAATTGCCTCAGTGCCCAGGAGTCTCACCAGGGCCATGGGAGCCCGTCCTGAGGGTGAATATCAGCCCGTGTTCCTTGGGGATCTGTGTTTTCTCTCCCACAAGCCTCATACTTTGTTCTGGGTGTTACCTCATCAAGGCATCCAGCTGATAAAAAAGAAACTTTGGCCCTGGGTGGTTTCTGTTATCTCTAACTTTCTCAGGCGGGGCCTCTAGTGGTCTAGTGGTTAGGGTGCAGGACTCTCACCTTTGTGGTGAGATTGCCCTGTGTGGCAATCCATCTGAGAGAAGGTCACTCTAAACAAACCTACGTTCTGAGACCCTCACTGCCACTGTCCAAGCGTGCTTGGCCCCGGCAGATGAACCTCAGGATTAAAGGGTGGGCTCAGTTCAGGGCACGCTGTGTCTCACCTAAAAAATCCACTGCGCAGGCTCGAAGGGTTAATGACCCTTCCCAAATCTTCGCTCTCGAAGACTGGCCATTAAAACTTTCTCAGGCTATTCAGTTACCTGTAATCCAGTTAACCTAAACCCTGCTGTTCTGAGCAAGAATGTAACCATTTCATCTCCCAGTGGACAGGAACACAGGGAAAGTGAGCAACACACAGCAGTTTTAAGGTGGGAAAGTGCATTCTTCTTGTAAGTGTTTATAAAAGCAAGTCAAGATCATGTTAGATAAAGCAAATCACAAGCCTGACTACTTGTTCTAGGGAGAGGATTGTGCCCCTCTGCCCCCTTAGGTGAGACCCCCCTGCAGAGCTGCTCCAGCCCTGGGGAACAGCCCAGCAAGGACATGGAGCTGCTGGAGAGAGGCCAGAGCAGGCCCCAAGAGGATCCCAGGGCTGGAGCAGCTCTGCTGGGAGGAAAGGCTGGGAGAGCTGGGATTGTTCAGCCTGGAGAAGGGAAGCTTTGGGGTGACCTGATTGTGGCCTTGCAGGGCCTGAAGGGGCTCCAGGAAAGATGGAGAGAGACTATTTCCAAGGGCCTGGAGTGGCAGGACAGGAGAAGGGGGAATGGCTTCCAGCTAACAGAGAGTAGGGTTAAGATGGGATATTGGGAAGAAATTCTTCCCTATCAGGGTGTCCAGAGAAGCTGTGGCTGCCCCTGGATCCCTGGAAGTGTCCAAGGCCAGGTTGGACGGGGCTTGGAGCAACCTGGGCTAGTGGAAGGTGTCCCTGCCCATGGCAGGAGGTGGCACTGGATGATCTTTAAGGTCCCTTCCAACCAAGACCATTCTGTGACCCTGTTTTCTGGTTGGTTTTGGTTGGTTTTAGTCTCTTTGCCTGTCTCAGGACAGGGAGCTGTTCAGGCCCAGCCTTGTGCTGACTCCTCTGCTCACAGGGTGGGTTAAGGAGGCCTGTCAGGGAGTATGGCTCAAACCTCACCTGCCCCTGAAGATGGAACTTCTCATGGAGTGGGAGTGCAGTGATGGTCTTCTAAAACCCACTCACTGTATGTTTTGCACGTTACTTTAGAGAAAAATTGCTTGTGTTTGATCAGTTTAATGGGAGGCAGCTCTTAATACAATTCTGAGCTTCAGGCTGTGCTCAGGATAGAGAGGTATTAAAACATTGCAGCAGCAGTTAAAATATCACTTCCAGGTGTTTAGCCCAGACTTTCTTCAAGCTGACACCAACTCTGAGTCAGCAGTATGTCCCACAATTCAGAAATGTGATAAAGGAGCCTCTTGTGGCTGTTGCTGTGTAAATATCTAACACAAAGCTTAGAGGGTGTAACATCTCTGTAAGAACTTGCTGTGATGCTTATCTTCTATTTTTGTTTTAATTCTTCCTCCCAAGGTTATTGTTTCTACCCAAACCTGCTTCTTGCCTCACCAAATTGCTGCTGCCATCCCAGGATTTATGCTTTCCCTTCTTTCTTGTGCAGTCTGTCAGTGATTAGATTTGCTGTTCAATTTTATCATTCTGGTTTTGTGCTGCACCCCAGATTGTCCAGCAAAAACTGTTCCTGGATGAAATACTTATGGAGCTGTGGGTCCTATTCTGGATGAGCCTCTCTGAGAACAGTTATAAATTCTGTTAAATCAAGCAAGTGCAGGATGTTACAGTGTATCCAAGTGGGTTTGGGAGTGTAAGGAAGTTCCTCTCTCCAGGGAGGGGAGGGTATGGAAGCGAAAGTTTGGAGCTGTGTAGGTTTTTAGCTCTCCCACTGCCATAACTCTTTGCCATAGGTCAGGCAGCTCCTTTTCCTGCCTGCTAATTCCTACTCTTTTCCACGTGTTAGCACAGATCTGTCACTTCAGGGGGTGATTTATGGGATTTATGACACAAGTACTGCTCAGTTTTGGGGGTGGCTGGGGGTTTTTTTTGGCAGTTTGTTTATTCAGGCTGCACCAAACCCTACAGAAGCTTTTATGGTGTTGGTGACTTCAAGCCCCAGCTGAGAACCTGGTGTGGGTGGGTCCTGGCAGATCACTGGGCAGGTTGGGCAGCACATCCCAGGAGAGCAGTTTTTCCATGGCTTTTCCATATAAAAGACAGAAAGACCAAACAACCTGGGGGGTGACAAATGACCCTGCAGAGGGAACACAACTGGCTCTCCTGGGGTAAAGCCAAAACCTTCAGCTAAGAAGAGGTGAAAACATAATTAACTCATTAATACAATATTGCAGAGCCAGGTCTTCTCATTAATATCAGTTATGTTGCTTTTCTTATAGATTTTAATTGATCATGTGCCCGTTTTCTAATTAGTGGGAAAAAAATGAACTACACTTTTGAGGTTTGGTAGTTTAAAAAATAACTAAGATGAACTTTTGGGGTTTG